CTTATGTCCTAAAAACCCATTAGGTTTAGATTTGATAATATGGTTTCGACTGGTGACCCTTATTGTCCTAAAAACCCATTAGGTTTAGATTTGATAATATGGTCGACTGTTGACCCTTTTGTTCTGGAAACCATTAAGTTTGGATTTGATATGACCGACTGGTGATCTTTATTGTCCTAAAAACCAATCAAGTTTTGGATTGATAATATGGCCGACTGGTGACCCTTATTGTCCTAAAAGCACAATAGGTTTGGATTTGATGAGAAGACTACATTCATTGTACATTTATGAGTTCAGTCCTTGTCAATCATGCCTGCAGAACACATGTATATGATTTTTGTTTAAAACAAGGACTGTATTATTGACTTATTTCTACTATGTATTAATACTGCATACTACGTATTGTGTGGAGCACGTTAGGGACCTCTTGTCGCTCTACAGTGCGTATGTCTGTACTACTACAATTCAAATCAGATTTTGTACATTTTGCATTGCAGAATCTTATAAATGATTTGCATATTTATTACAAGGTTTGAAAAGCTATCAAAATGTATTACCGGTACTTAATATAAAAATTAAAAGGCAATGAGATATATTTATTGCTAAATTCTTCACATTATTTAATTGATGTAATACTGAACCAAAAAGATGTTTGTGTACGTACTAAATGCAGTACAATGAACATTGCTAGAAGAATCGTTTATTAGTTTCTATCTATTTGCATATGTGACTATGTACTCAGAATTTATTTATTTGGTGGAGACATGTTCAATTTGTCTCAGTTTTACATATTTTAAAGAATGTGCCAAAATATGCAGCATTTGGCTCATTACCAGATGTTGGTTCCAAGTGTCGGCATGTAAAGATAAACTGTGCAATATGCTTGGCACTTGTTTTAAAGATGTGAAATTTCGATATTTAATGGGGTTGTTTTCTAGGAGCATGTATTTAACAAAGTTTGCTTTGATAATGGCGGCAGAAACTATAAAAAGCTTTTATGTATGAACACGCTGGTCTTGTTTTCTTCAATAAAAACTTAATTTCTTTTCTAAGTATTTATGTCTGATTGTTTTATCTTAAACGTATATTTTCTTTGGTTTGAATTTAGCAAATGATTGAAATTTGCAAATTTTATAGTGTCATAGTATTCCATGTTTGGATCTAGTTTACCCAGCTAACTATTTGAATCTGACTTTGGCTGAAATATTCATCTAAATCGAGTATTTCTGCCATTCCTGACAAAGATCTTGATTTCAATCAAACTTACAAACTAGTTACATACACCGGACATTATGGAATCTTGATGCATGTAGTTTGATTTTTCAGATTAAAAATGGCCGACTTGTGCATGGGCATTTACCGAGGTAATTTTTTTGCTGTTCAAGAGCCATATTTCTGATATGTCTTGACCAATCATTTTCAAACTTTATACGAGTATATACATCATAACATATATACTCAGGAAAGGAAGGATAGTTTTGAATGCATACACTTGATTAGCAAATCACGATGTTGACATTCCCCATAAAATAGTGAAGACTTTAAATCAAAATCAAAAGCAAAGTGTTTTGCAACATTACAAGCCATCTTGCTAACTAACTGTCCAAATCATTCCAAGAACCACTGTAACAAAGTAGGCGACATCACCCCAGATTTAAATACCTATTATAACAATTGTCCATATTTGGACGTTGCATTATGTACATTATCAGATGATAGAGTATATTATTCTGTCGTGTTTCATTGGCCCTAAACCTGCATAACATTGTTAAGTTAGACTCAGCAATGACAAACCGTGCAACATTTCCAGTATTGTAGGCTTTGTGACGTAAACAAAAAAAGCATATTAAGACAAATGAGCAAAATTATTAAGTATTAATACGTATAAACTTCAAACTTACCAATCAACTTAAGTGTGTCAGCATGTTTCAGAATAGAGTAATATGTGTGTACATGTTCCAGGGCCACCGCATTCTACACCAGTACATTAATTATCAAACACATATTTATGATATTATACTGTAAAATACTTTTTTTTTCGATGAAAAGACTTTTTGGGTTATTTGTATGGAATACATTTTTACTGATTTTTGAGGAGTTGAATCTAAAATATAAGAAAAAAAGTATATTTGCTGGATTTTATTTTCACTGAATCATTCCTTCAGCGAAAATTACCGTAGGTGCAAATGAATATAAAGTATTTGACAGTATCATGTATTCCACACTTGATAAGAATAGATGTACTGCGTGACAAATGACCGAATGGTACAACCTGATCGTTTTCTATTACTTTTTATTATCAATAAGCATGATAAACTTACAACATATAGAGAAGTTAACATTTCAAAGTTAATTTTTCGCTTAAATCTACATATTTTTACTAAAATTAATTCCATGTCAATAAATTGTATTTTCTGTTAAAATTTTGATTCTAAAAAGATTTGCCATTATTAATATCCTTGGTATATGTTGACAGGTCATCTCCAACTAAATCAACTCTACATTCGAAGTAACACCTCTATACACACAAATAATTTTTGTGGAAAATTTAAAAAAACAAAAATTCTGCCAAAGCAAGAAGTACAACTGAGAAAACACAAGTATATATAACAATGAAAACAAGAACATACCAAATAAAATACTAATGAAAAATATCAGTCCAAGTAATTTACTTTAAAATACTATTAATTTCAATAAAAAAATGGGTGACATATTAAAGCACATAGGGGAACATAAATACTTGAGTAAACAAAAACACAAAGAATAATATAGTTATTTGCAAATCACTTTGGCAAGATACATGATATATACCGGTATGCACATGATAGTTTGCTTTATACTAGCACGGTATGTGAACATAACTTTTTTTTTTAAATACCATATTTGTTAAATTTAAAGCTCATATGTACACATAACCCATTATTATGGATTATGGAAATATGGCCATTACGTAGGTTCATTTTGTATGTTTTAAAAATACTATACACACACAACACAGGGATTATTGTTAAAAAATTATTGTTAAAACCAATTACATAACAGGACTCCATAAATAACTTTTAATTTTCTTGAGAAGAGACAACTGAATAATGGTACTGTAAAATCTGTAATAGAAGCAAAATGATCTGATGCAACAGAGGGGATGCGGCTTCTTATAAGAGCATCAACACATACGAGAAAAGACAAATTGTTGGTTCTCAATTGTTCATAAGGAACGAATACAGTTTTTATTAGGGGTGCTACTTCAAATACAGATTTCAC